CTGGTGCATCCACTCCTTGTGACTTATAATATCCAATAAAACTATACGGTTCTTCCATATTACTATGCTTTACGTGAAGTGTGGCAACTCGAACTGCTCCTCTACATCTGTGCAAAGTTCTACGTTGAATCCAGTCAGTCAGGATAAAATATGACCATGTATTGTGTATTGGATGGTAATTCAGACAGTCATATGATTCAGGTAGGCTGCCCCTCTTTTCACCGCACTGAAATCATTCACTCTCACTCACATGAGATCCAACCACAAAACATGAAGAGAACAGAGAAAAGCTTCTTCGGTGAACATTTCCACGTTACCATAGATATTTACATATTTATTTTTCTTTACTTCAAGACACAAAACTCGAATAAAAGAATTGTCATATCTTGTCTTGTTGTTTTTCGTTCACAAGACAAATTCTGTTGAAATTTGCTAACAGAAAGCAAAAATTGAAGCGGGAAACGAGACGCGTGTTGTCAAGATGTTACAATATAGAAAAATATCACATTTTAGAAAGAAAAAAAAGAAAATGTCTCACTATACTACTGTAGATAGGTAGGTGGGTAGTGTTAGGTAGGTAAGTGTAATGATTGATTAGAGGAAATTACACACACACACACACAGACACCGAAATATCACATGGAATTTACGCGAATAAGGTGAGCAGTAGTGATATGAGTAGTCGTCTTTCAACCAGACAGCCAATCAGCAGAGAGCCCCACTGAGAGAGAGCGCGACATTCATCATCACGACAGATTGTCAATGCCTAATTTTTTAGAAAAAACAAACAGAGGAACAAAGGAGTCAATTCATTTAAATAAAGATTAGTGCACTAGTATTGTAACAACAGAAGGCAAGACACGGAAGGTAAGGTATACTTAGTGCTGGTGTCTTTGTTTGCTTGTCTTGAGGTAGCCAGTTCCGGAGCTCGCTGATGTTAACCCAATTTTCTTTCTTTGCATTTCTGATGGAATTTACATGACCCCGTCTCACAGTAACCGTGTATGACCCTTACCGATTTGGAAGCATTTTGTGTGACTATGGCTGGCTGGCGCGTATTCTCCGGTGTTTCGCCTCACACTATCATATGCTGGCTTCGCCCGACCTCTCAGCAGCAGCGTTCCAAGTAAAAGCGTCTCCATTGACGGATACTGAAAGCAATTCAACTCTAAAACAGCTTGGAAGTTCTGCAAGAACATCCATGTATCTCTTCCTTCAAAACCTGCAGAGCATAGAGTTTCGTTTGTCGGCAGGCAGCGACACCAAATGTTACAAGGGAAGGCAAGACACAGAAGTCAACATACATTTTCAAGTGATCAAACATCTATTTATATCTATACAGTTTATATTCGTTAAACAATCATCACTAAGCGGGGGTGTGATTTCGGTTTACATTAAACCACATGAAATAGAATGTTCCAGTATACATATATAGTATAGTATTCTGTTGTTAATGTAGTATTGAACTGTGGGAATAGTATATATGAGAGTAATATTCCGTTGGAATACATTATTGTTTCTGTCACACCACCAAAGTATCACTTATTATTATCATCGAGGAGACTGTTCAAAACTCACCATTGTAAATCAGTGTGTTATTACACGTCAAGCAGCATGAGACATTTACACACACAGAAGGTATCTCCCTAAATCCGAATCCATGATGAGGTTGTGGCGTGTGCTACTCATAAGATTTATCAGTAGTGGTAGTAGTAGTATTTAAAAAAAGAATTTCGTTGACATAAATGCATCAACTAGCAGGGAGATAGATAGATTTGATGTCAGTCGGATAAAGCAAATGATTCGGCGTTGTGGAGAGATACACGGTAAACGTGAATGGAACACAAAGAAGCACGCACAATATAAAGACCAAAAGTAGCACAACACGGAAGATCTGTGGAAATGGTGATTTTTTGAAGATAAGGTGTACACAATTTCCCCATAACATATAGAGATACCAAATTGCAAATAAACATTCATTTTCAAGTGTTGGTTTGTAGGGATTTGATTGGTTACAGGATTTTCATCATGAGCTGACATTAGTTAGAGAACCATTGGAAAACCTGGGAGTACTGGACACCTGTTTCGTCCTAGTTCGGAGCTCTTCATCAGTACGCACCCACCGGGATTCGAACTCAGGACCTTCTGGTTACAAAACGAGCTCGTATACCAGTGGCCTAATGGTATACTGTATACATATACTGTAGATGACTTTGAAGTTACTTGGTGGGTGGGCTTGCTTGCTGCTGTGATTCGATCAGGTGTTCCAGAACAGAGCTTCGGGATGGTGATCTCTTTTCTCCTTTATAAAACCATGACTGTGGGTAAGTGTTCGAAGATACGTTTGGATAGCAAACGCTTTATAAATTACGTAATTTGTTGACTGAAATTTACAATTCTAATGACAAATCTTTGAAATATTCATTTTGTTGCTAAGAAAACTAACTATGCGTATATGCGATTATACAGCTTGAGAATAATATCGCCGAAGAGAGGACTAACTCTTCGTTTTCATATGACTCAGTGGGAAATTTTAAATTACTTTTTATTACTCTCACACTCTATTTTGTGATTATATGCAAGTGAATACATTCCAATGACTGAGCTCTGTTTTTTTCTAGGTTATTTAACTTACTTACCAGGGTCGATCATTCCCACACCCACCTCTCCCACTAGGTCTAGCCAAGCTTTTATCTTCCGATAATCCGTCTACTATCGGATTTTGCAGGTGGAGTCGAATTCATCACTTCTCAGTTAGAAAACAAATAGGGTGAGTTGGCTATGCTCGACTGTCAAATCAAATAGAAGCAGAATGGTCGGTTCAAAATAGCATGTCGTCACACTTCCATAAATCCGCTTACACTTCAAATTCACCCCATCCACAATCACTGAGGATAGGGTAGGTTTAGTTAAATGTGGTTATATTAATCTAACCAGGTAGCTAACTAGTAAGTCAGATGATTTGAATAATTCCATGCAGTGAGTGCCAGCTCTTTCATACAATGAAGGAATCTGAGAAATCTTACGGTGGAGAATTCTTAACAATGTAGACGGGAATAAACGTGGCTGGCATTCAAACCACCTACAAACTCAATTAGAAACCAACTACGCCGTCCAGTTAAACGATCCTGCGCCTATGGAGAGCATTCAACAAAACAATCTAGTTTATTTATCACTCTGCCTGCAATGATTGTCAAGTCGAAATTGTAGTGTGATGGTGTGATACAGACAATGTGTTCCAACGGAATATCATTCTCACATATTCCCACAGTGGAATACCTTAGCTTCCGTTTCTTGCTTTCTGCTATTACATTTGGTTCCGCTGTCTGTAATAACAGAGTGGAGGGAGAGATTGTTAACTGAAGCTGTATTTATTGAATCAACTAAGACGGAGGAAAGCTTGCAACAGGAATGATTCAACACCTATCCACGCCAACATCTGGAAAATTCTACTACCGCCCTCGCCCCAAGACGAATAGGAAGGAATAAAGAAAACTATAAAATGAGAGTCACGAAGTTGTCTATGTGACCAACCTGATATGATATGATTATGAACAATAAATTTTGTTAGTCGTCAGTGACACACACCCGTAGAATGCTAGCCAGCCATGCAGGTGGTCCGGGGTTCGATCGCTGCTGAGCTTGTACTAATGCGACTGGTAAAGAGAGAAGGTTGGAGGAGGGCATGAGGCTAGCAGCAACCCCATCCCGTAAAAAAATAAACACCAGTGCTACCAAAACTTTAAGAATCTAGCCTATGTATTCCCCACTGGGAACGTGAATGAATAAAAAAATAAATTTTGTTTCATTTTCTGTGTGTATGTGTGTTTGATGCAGAGAAATAAACAAAAGATTAAGTGACCAGCAATTATGATCAGATAGTTGAGTATCAATCAGTCAAATTAATTATTATTATTATTCATAATAATAATGATACCGTTTTTTTGTCTGTCAGTTCAACTTAATACAGCAACACAGCAATAACTCTAGCAGATAAAACACTATTTACTCATTAGAATAAAGGTTGATTTCTTGTATTTCCCAATGTGAATGAATGAATGAAAAAGAGCAAAACGATATTGTTGTTGTCGTTGTTTCTGACTGACGAGGTTTCGCTATTTAATGCTGCTGCTGCTGCCACTAATAGCTTTATCGTCAAAGGAGTAATATTAAACCAGAAGAATTTACAAAAGCTACTCAGCTTATATATATACACATAACAACTTGATCATCGTGCCTCAGCATGGTTGGGTAATTCTGTTTACGTTGTTGTCAAGTTGGCTAATTGGGAGAGATAACATAACCAAGTGTGTGTGTGTAGATTGTTGGTTTTGATAGGTGTATGAAATTATACAAAAGTAGAGTGTGTTTACATAATGAAATTGCTTATCAGTCACATTCGTGTTGATTTTGTCATTTCATGCGAGAGACCGAAGGAGTGAGTGTTGTAACCAGGTAAAATTCTGCTTTAGTCTATCATTCCTATTCAGTTCAGACAATTTGGATTCCATTTGATGTGGAGTGCTTCTGATGATATCAAACGTTCTTTGTGATTTCTGAAACTATTTCTAGATGATGGTTTCAATATTGTGAAAATCAATTTTGTGACCTGATTGATTCTATAGCGTAGCGTGTTGTGTAGACGACTTGTGGCTGATGAGTTTTCAAGCTTTTTAAGTTCAACTGGATTTATTTCTCGGTGGTTGAACAGATACGGCTCTACGTTGTTCATTTCTTCTTTCTTTTTTTATTCCTTCACTTTCCCAATGGAACATAGGGCTTCGAGCTACTGGCTTGAAGTTTCTGTAGCAGTGTTCATTTTTACAGGATGGGGTTGCTAGCCTCATGCCCAACCTTTCCTCTTTACCAACTTTATTTCTGGCTTGACGAGGTAAAGGAGTGCGTCGGCCGGGGATCGAACCTCGGACGATGTGCATGGTCGGCGCTGTGCCACCGACGCACAACAGGATGTCACTGCCAGGATTTCTTCTTCTGATTACCTTGATTTCTCTCTGGAGCGATGTTTGTCCAATGTATATTATCCCATCGCATTCCAAGCAAGCATTTTATTTTATAGACAAAATTAGATAGAGAATCCTTAGGGATTTAATCTTTTACATGGACAAGGTTGCGTTGTAGTGTGTGTATGCATGTCTGATGTTTTGAAGAAAACTCTGATGTCGTGCTGATATTGAGTACTCTTCTGATGAACACCGTAGAGCCGCCTGCCATCCCCACCAGTTGACCCCCGAGAAACAAATCCAGTTGAACTTAAAAAGCTTGAAAACTCATCAGCCACAAGTCGTCTACACAACACGCTACGCTATAGAATCAATCAGGTCACAAAATTGATTTTCACAATATTGAAACCATCATCTAGAAATAGTTTCAGAAATCACAAAGAACGTTTGATATCATCAGAAGCACTCCACATCAAATGGAATCCAAATTGTCTGAACTGAATAGGAATGATGGACTAAAACAGAACTTGACCTGGTCACAAAACCCAACCTCGCCCACATCCCCCACGAAATGACAAAATCACCAGGGAATACGAAAAATCAACCTTTATTATAATGAATATCATATACCACCGACCCAATGCCCAAGTTCTCTTCAAAAAATGTTCAAAATGAACTTGGTTTGGACAGATATATAAAACGTGTATTTCCTACTTGTAATAATGATCACGTCTCACTTCACCTGTGCACTTATCATATTCTCTTCTATTCACATTGTCTTTACTGTCACTATCCTCTGCAGGTTCTTCGTCTTCTTCTTCTATTGGTTCATGAAGTAATCGACTTGCTGTCACTGGTGTATGGGGCGTGGTGATGGTGGTGGTAGGGGTGGCAATCAATGCTCCAGTCTCTCCAGGAGAACATTCTTCATTGTTCACCTTTTTTCTATTGTCAGTTTCAACAATTGGCAGGCTACTTTCTGCTGACAACATTCTTGTCGGTTGGATTACTGTACTCTGTCGGCTGAATTTACGCATACCGCCGCCATCAAAGTCCTTAAAGAGTAAAGGAAAGAAAAGAAAGCTATCAAGAGATAGAAATAATTGCTAGAATTTGTTTTGGTTGGATGATTTCATCATGAGCACTGACATCGGTTGGTGCTAGACAGCCAGCTATTTCCTCCGTTTTAGTGCTTGGGACCGGCTCTTCCGCAGTACGCACCCACCCCCATTCGACTGCGGTTCGAAATCAACACCTTCTAGTTACACGGCCAACGAGCTAGCTCGTAGACCATTAAGCAGCCACTCTCTGGAACCCCAGCCTATCCAATGGCCAGTCAGCCACTCCATAAATTCTAACTCCTGCCAATTCACGCACGACATAGCGCGATCATTTCGCAATGTCTTCTTCGATAGTTACTGTCTTCATCTTTGACCAACTGTATCTTACTGGTCACAGCTTTCCACTAGAACCCACGGTAACTGCCTACCAGAATAGGGCCAGTCGCTAGTGAGCATCTCATTGATATTCAAATATTGGTTTTGTAGGGATTTCGTTTGATTGGTTGGAGGATTTCATCATGAGGCATTGGATCGGGTCGCAGTGGCTGCTTAACGGTCTATGAGCTCATTCGCCTTGTAAACACAAGATTCCGCGTCCGAACCCTGGCGGTGGGTGCGTACTGATGAACAGTCAGTCCCAAGCACTAAGACAGAGGAAACAGCTGTCTGGCAGTACTCCCTGCGGCAGATTTTCCAATGGTTCTCTAACCAAATCATCTAAGTACTCATGATGAAATCCTCCAACCAACCAACCAACAGATCAGTCAAACAAAATCCCTACAAAAACAGTACTTGAGAATTTCTTTTCCATATTCAACAACTGATTAAAAAGTGTATAAGCAGCAATGACGAAGTCAGGTAGTCAGAAAACCGGTCAAAAATCAAAATTATCCGACAAATAAGCAGAAGGAAATGGATTGGACATACATTGATCTGGACTGAAGTGACATAGTTACTACTGGTCAACATATTCTACCACTTCACTCTTGCCTATTTATCTTTAAGCTAAGAGTCGATGTAGCACCCTGTGCTGCCGATTACGAATTAGCAGAAGTTGGAATTCATGAACACCATTGAGTCGGCGTCCTAGTGGCTGGCTTAATGCTTATCCATCTGAGTGGGGGAGACAGGCATAAAATGGACTCACAAAAAATTTGCAGGATCTGGATCGCGATTTCGCCGATGATATATGTCTGATTTCCCACAAACTGGAAGATATGCAAGTGAAAAGCAACAAGTTGGCGATATAAGAAGCATCCAGAGAAGACAGGAATTCAGGTAAACATAGAGAAAACAGATGTGGTGATGATGAAGATTCCATGACAACAGCAACAACAACAGCACTCAGCATAAATAGGAGGAATCTGAAAGAAGCGACCTAATTTACCTTCCGACCTACCTACTTGGGAAGCATCGTTTCAGTTACAGGCGAACGGAACTGATGAGGATATCAAAGTGAGGATCGGGAAAACAAGGCAAGCTTTCATTACTATCATCTAGTCTGTGGAGTGATGGACAGCACTCAGCATGAAAAATAAGATCCGGATTTTCAACTCCAGTGTGAAGTCAGTGCTACTATACCAAAGGCACTAGGAGCAAGCTGCACACCTTCATCAACAGCTGTCTTCCCTCAATATTTCGCTCACTCAACATTAGATGGCCAATCAGAAAACATCACCAACAGGAAGGGATCTCTGGCAACGAACCAACCCAACACAACCTAGTAGGAATCAATTGTGGAACAAATATGCAGGAAGAAATGCAGGTGGATTGGATTGTGGCCATACTCTGAGGAAACAAACCATCAAGTGACTAGTGACATCACGCGCTAGACTGTCTCTATATCTGTCTCTCTGTCGAGTGGAACCCGAACGGGAGAGAAACGGCGAGTTAGTTGGTCGTCAGTGCGAGAGTAAAATGGAGGAGACAGAGGAGGAGGTGATGCGAAGAAATGAAAGCATGTGGGCAGACGTGGAGCGAGGTGAGAAAACGTTGGCGAAGAACCTCGAAAGCAATGGAGACGTACGACTGAAGTACTATGTTCCTCTAGGAAATAAAGGAAAGTGAGGTGAGGAGAAGGCAAAATAGTCATCATCAATCATCATCATCATCAGCAGCAGAATCACACACACACCAGCGAAGTCGAATAACTCTAACAACACTAGATATTTAATTCTTCACTTACTTGAGAACGGAAGAGCCTTGATAACGATAATCCAGATCCGATTAAGTCTTGATTGAAGGGTAGACTGAAAATACAGAAATCAATACAGGATAAAACAAACATCATCGAATGGAACAAATTAATGAGTAACAATCAGCAATAATAACAAGAAAAACAATGACAAAAATTCATAATGAATTGAATTTGTTAAGTGAATATTTATGTGAATTATTTTAGTGCATAAACGTCACTATACCAGCTTTGGTTAACTGCCGGGTTTGACTAACTGACTAGTTTCAACGTAGAACTTTACACCGATGTGCAGGAGCAGTTCCAGTCACCACACACTCCTCCATGCAACACACAAAGCAAGAGAAGAAAGTAAAAAAGAGATATGACTCAAAAAGAATAGTTGTAATATGGAATAACAATAGAATTTTATTGGACATGATAAATCACAAAGAGTGAATACATCCGCGCCAGCCAGCCACCACTGAAAACGATCACTTTGAACCAGCCACATCATCAATTGTCTCAAGCCTTCATTGGTTGTCAACATACTAAGGACCCCAACCACGTAGTTTGTCAGGCAGTCTACGCCTCCCGACGTGACTGGATTGAACTAACTCTTATGGATTTCATTGACTGATGATGAAGTCATGTTTTGGTTTGACCACCACAACCAACAGCTAATTCATCTCCAACCTCATCCATCCTATGTCAGTGGCTAACATCGCCCCATCCAGCCCCACCCGTCGATCGAGGTAAGGTGATGGCTAGTTATGCATGCATGCGTAACACATGTTCTGGCCATTTCTCTCAATGCATATGACTACTTCACAACCTCGTCTATTGATTTCCGTTCACGCTTCCTAACCTAGTAGTCGACTGACAGAGGACAGAGCAAACTGCTGAGCAGTGGACACAGTTTTTTGGTCGACAGCCAGGCGGATATGATATCTACTAGGCGAGAGATGGCGTAAGTTGGCATATGCCATGCCCAACCACTTCACTCCTGTCCATCTGTAAGCTAAGAGTGAATCCATGCAGTTGAGTCCTGTAGCATTCATCATCTTAAATTTGACAACAATACTTCTTAGCAGTCAGTCTATGCTGTATATTTACTCGGCTCTTTCATGTGTATTTACGTTTAACCACCCATGTGGAGCAGCTAGTTACATAGAGCGTACGATCAGGCAAGTTCATCGTCGTCGAATTTCAGAACACTTCCAATCTTGGTGTGGTAAAGGTTCGAATAAAGCTGCTATACGCAGATCAATACTACCTCATCGCATAGTCGATACTGACTGGACATCGAATCGACTCACTCTAACAAAGCTTTTGAAGTTATTTATCAATCGTAATTCACCCAACACTTCGCATAGTCTACGAGAACGAATCTTACATACAGCGGTAGCAGAGGCAATCGGAATTCATTTGAACAAGCCAAATCTGCATGTGTGTGTGTGTTCAGAAGATGTTTGTACAGTCACGTTTTATTTCTCAAGGCCAACTACATAATATGTATGAAGCTTTTAAAAACTATTTTCTGCCTTCCCCTTGTAACCATCTTTTGATTTTGTTAATTTTCACAGCTCCAGCTAATTCTATTAACTTGTGTGTTTGTATTTTACGTAATTCTTCTGAGTCATCCTATTATTCTTAGTCATCATTACTATTTTACAAATTTCTTGATGATGTAATAACTTGTTGCTAACGCCTAAGATTCAATTTATCTTGAATTCTGTAATTATTTCATTTTCACCCCTCTCTTTAAAACTTTGATATCTTGTTACTAACATCTATTAGTTAATTGATGTTTTGATGACCTTCAAACCCTTCATTTCACCCCACTCCCCCTATACCTAAGACTGATTAACTAAAATAACCACTTGATTGATTGATAAAAACAATTTTGATGTAATAAACGACTATATATTAGTGTAGAGCCAGCCAGCCGACGATGATGATGAGGAACTGCTAATTGAAGTGAAGGAATGCATGATTTCTTCGACCAATCTGTTGTAACTTTTCTGAATGCGTCAATGGGAATTTGGAAATTACGTATATCAGATCTGTTCATTGTTCGTCATGGATGACTCCCAAACCATAGTGTCTGTCTATCAACTAAACAACATTGGATGACCTTCGTAACATGACATTGCAGCCAATCAGAATCTAATTGGGAGTAAGAAAAACTACTTTATTTATGCTTACAAGTTTGACCATGGATTGATATCAGTTAGAGAGCCATTGAAAGCCAGGGAGTACTGCAAGACAGCTGTTTTATCTGCCTAGTTTGGGAATCATTGGCAGTACGCACCCACCCACCACAATGGAGGTTCGAGCCCAGGACCTTCCGTTTACAAGGCAAGCTAACTCCTATACCATTCAGCCACTCACTGGGACCCACCCGATTCAATGGCCAGCCAGCCAGTGCATGAATTCTAACTTCTACCAATTCGTGATTTAGCGCCACCATCAACCAACGTCATCGGTGGGAACTCCATCCTCACACTTGACGACTGGATGGACCTCACTCTGGTCACGACTTCTCACTACAACTCCAGGAAACTCCGTCGAATCCCAGTGGGTGCGTACTGCCGATGATTCCCAAAGTAGGCTGATGAAACAGCTGTCTGGTAGTACTCCATGGTTTTCAATAGTTCTCTAATTGACATCAATCCGTGGTCAAACTCGTAAACGCAGATTTAATCTTTACAAAACAAAGCTTGAAAATACTTTATCTATATCATTTTTATTGGTTCATATATGTTCTATGGTATTGTACAATTGATGGACACTCTTTACTATTCACACTCTTGTATGACAGCTAATTTCAGATCGTGGAAAATACCCATGAGGACATCAGAAAGAAGAGAACACGAAGTTTAGCAAAGATATCTTTTCGGCGATTTCCTTTGTTGGAATAATACAACACGTATCCTTCGTCAACGTGTGGGTGTCTTCCAAATTTACTCTTCGAGTCAGGGAAATTGAACTACAAAGCCTTACCAGTTGTTCCACCGTCATCGCCCGTTGTACCTCGTTAGTTATATTTAAACTTGGTCACATCATAACAACAGCCAATTTCCTCACCTTGACCAGCGTTAACATTAATGTATAAAACCAGACCACTTCGCCCACCTCCTAAGAAACCTTTTAAAGATTATTAACTGTCTAAATTATTTCATGATTAATTTTTCTGACTACTTTATCTTTAATTACAAACTATCATTGTCCAAATTCATTTATTTTTCCCTAACAATCTATTACGTAATCAACCTGAGTACACTTATTCCTCAATTACTCTTCTCATTTTTCCAAAATGATGTGCATTATGCAATCCAATCGGTTGTAACCATTTCTACACTTTAATTGTGTATGTTAATTTTCTTCGTTAATTATCACCCCATCGACATGATCACGATGACTAATCATGGTTTAACACAAACATATCAGTGCCACTTGATTGGGTAAATGTGTTATGTATTTCAATATATTTTTGATTTTCCCATCGATTGTGATTGGACCGAAGTGCTCGGTCTCAGGTTGACATGTCGACTTCTTGTACAGATGCTTCGATGATGTCTGGGTAAATAATTAGAAGTTAATTGATGGATGGTGACTAGCAGTGGAATCCATCAAGGATAACGTGCATTTCGTCCTATTTGGGAATCGTCTATGAAACTATGGGCACTGGGTTCGAGCCTCAGGGGTGGGAATATCATCACTCACTCACCAGGGAATGCAGGTACATCCAGCTGGCGGACGAGTCCCAAAGAGGACGAAATACGCATCCTGGATTCCACTGCTAGTCCCATCTACCAATTAACTTCTAGTGTTGTGTATTGTATTCAAGAAAAATGCTCTACGTGTGTCTCTTGTGTGTGTATATTAGAGTAGAGAGTCAGAGTGAGATGAGAAATATAATTGAAAAGTAAATATATATTTCATCGTTCAATCAATAAATCCTTTTGCTTTATAAATGTGTCAAAATGGAAATGTTTTCGACGCTGATATCTTCAGAGCAACAAACTACATTGTCTGACATTCTTACTTGTAAAACTATTTTTTCTATAATTTCGTTTATGTACGATTTTCGGCAATGGATTATTGATCTTTATGACTCACCCACGTGTCAGCTGATCCACAACGAAAACCCAGAGAGGCATTCGAAGTGACCACAGGAGGAAGACAGGACTGTCTATTATCACCGAGGATATTTTTAATTGTGGTGGACTGGATTATGCGTCAGACTGTGCGTTGGGAGCGAGGAGTTAGGAATACGCTGGACCATCGATAAGAGGACTCTAGAAGATCTGAATTTCGCCTGTGGATGACATATATATATATATCATACAGGCGAAAACCAACAAACTGGTTGAAGAAGCAGAGAAGACAGGATTGCAGGTGAACATAGAGAAGACGGAGGCGATGAAGATAACCACCACCAACAGCAACCAGCACCAACCACCATCAAGGGGAGAGATTTAATACAGGTTACCTCCTTCACTTATCCAGCCAGGAAGCATCGTTTCAATTACAGGCAGCCGGAACGGGTGAAGACGTCAAAGCCAGTCAGAATGGGAAAGGCAAGATACGCCTTCATCAACCTGAGATCAGTTTGGAAATCTACCGCTTCACTCAGCATAAACAACGAGATTCGCATTTTCAGCAGCAATGTGAAGTCAGTTACTTCTTTTACAAGGGTCAGAAACTTGTGTTGCACGTCACAAAAAGGATTTCCAACAGGCTAATGCACACTTTTATCAACAGTTGCCTTCGATTCATACTGAAGATCAAATGGCCAGCCGGTGAGGAAGAATTAGTATCAAGAAACTATACCTGGGAACAAACCAACCAGGAACCAAATGCTCAACAAATATGCAGAAGAAAGTGGGCATACGTCGAGGAGGCCATTGAATGACGTCGCGCGCCAGGCCCTCGAGTGGAATCCAAATGGTAAGCGGCGGACGAGTTGGTCGCCAGTGCAAGGGTGACATGGAGGAGATCGCATGAGTTTGAGGAGGAGATGAGAGATTTTGGGCAATCGTGGGGTCAGCCAGCTGAAGAGCACAGTGCCAAATAGAAGAAAGTGGAGATGTGGTGTTGGTGAAGCCAGTCCTACGTTCCACACGGAACCCACGGTTATAATAATAATGTGCTTTCAATGAATATATAATAACGCGCAGAATATTTAACAGGATTATGCGAACACAATATAACCCCACCATTTCCGATGCACACACACACACAACTGGATTCGCTCAAACTTCAGTGCAAATATTCGATAGTCACTTACTTGAGGTCACTCACTCACTAACTTACACATGCATTCAGAAAGTGACAAATAATAAATATGCATAGTGTTACCCATTTTATTAGAGTTTACATACCAGATTAAGCTGTTAACACCTAACCACTTCTCAAATCTGCTTAAGGTTTTATTCACATATGAGAATTTGGTTGACTCTACTTATAACTGAACCTTAATTATCGATTTCAGTACTTTGCATAAAAGTGTATCACATTTTTAGTTGCTACACCTCTCGAAAAGCATAACTAACTGACTGACTGGTTTCAACGTAAAACTTTGCACAAATATGCAGAGCACTTCGAGTTGCCACACTCCCCTTCTATGTAGGACAAAAAGCAGGACATGAGAGTAAAAAGAGATTCAAAAGGAGAGGGAGATAATAAACAGACGTGCCAAGGGAAAACATTAGTAATATGGAAGAAAAGTACAGTTTCCTTTGATATGATAAATAACAAGGAACAGCAATGTGAAGTCAGTTAGTTCTTCTACAGGGGTCAGAAACTTGTGCTGCGTGTCACAAAAAGGATTTCCAACAGGCTAATGCACACTTTAATCAACAGCTACCCAATTTGATGGCTGGCTGGCTCCATGCTGAAGATCAAATGGCCAGAAAGAATCAGCAACAAGAAACTCTGAAGTGGAACAAACCAACCAGGAACCGATTGCTCAACAAATATGCAGAAGAAAGTGGACATTGATTGAGCATACGTCGAGGAGGCCGTCGAATGACATCGCGCGCAATGCAGGCCATTCGTCACTCGAGTGGAATCCAAATGGGAAGCGACGGACGAGTGGGTCGTCGGTGTGAGGGTGACATGGAGGAGATAGTGTAGGGGAGTTGGAGGAGGAGATGAGAGATTATGGGTAATCGTGGAGCTAGCCAGCTGAAGAGGCTGGCAGAAAATAGAACAAAGTGGAGATGTGTTGTTGAGGCCATCCGCCCTATGTTCCACTCGGAACCCAAGGGAATAATAATATAATAAGACTTACCCATACCACCTATGCAACAAGAACACGACAACAACAACTACTAAAAGAGAAAAAGACGACGCCCAATTCGAGAGTCGGGGGCAGTTAGTTGGGCAAAGATTGGGTGGTAGTCAAAATATTTTCAACACCATCGCACGCACGCGCGCACACAAGAAACAACTTACTTTATATCATATACAGATCCTCTAAACGGTCGAGCAGCTAAACGTCTCGATTCTTCAGTATGCGGTAATTCTATAACTGACTGTTGCCAGTGTATATCCCGTACAATAGAAGGCACACTTGTTTTCATTCCATCGACAATACACCAACCAGCCTAGTCAATCAATAAAAGAAGAAAAAGAGAAGAAGAATTGAAGGGGGAGGAGGAGGAGGCGGCGGCGGAAAGATTTGATATTGGTAGAATAAGAAATTTGTGATTCTTGTGTAACTATAGTGTAGTTAGTGGTGGGAGACCACAGAGACACTTGGTTGAGGAATGTTTATTTGCAATTTGGTATCTATATATATTATGGGGAAATTATGTACACTTTTACCTAACTGGGAAGCACCATTTCAACTCTACAGGTGGACGGAACTGATGAGGATAGCAACATAGCGCGAGGATACGGAAAGCAAGGCAAGCTTTCGATACTATCGTTAAGTCTGTGTGGAGATCAACACTCAGCATGAAAGATAAGATCCGAATTTTCAACTCAAATGTGAAGTCAGTGCTACTATACACAGATCAGAGACTTGGCGCCGTGCCGCACCGCGTCCCGAAGGCCACTTCGAACATACTACACACCTTCATCAACAACTGTCTTCGCTCAACATCAGATGGCCGGTCAGAAAACATCACCAACAGGAAGGGATCTCTGGCAATGAACGGAACAACGAACCAACCCAACACAACCCAGTAGGAAGCAATTGTGTGCAACAAATATGCAGGAAGAAATGCAGCTGGATTGGATTGTGGCCAAACTCTGAAGAAAAACACCATCTAGTGACTAGTGACATCACACGCTAGACTGTCTCTATCTCTCTGTCGAGTGGAACCCGAATGGGAGGGAAGCGGCAAGTTAGTTGGTCGTGAGTGCGAGAGTGAAATGGAGGAGGTGATGCGAAGAAGAAATGAAAGCATGTGGGCAGACGTGGAGTGAGGTAAGAAAACGTTGGCGGAGAACACCGAATACAATGGATACGTGCGGCTGAAACCCTACTTTCCTCTAGGAACTAGAAGAAACAATAATAGTAGTAATAGCAATGATATCCTCAACGCACTATTTTGCACAAATCTTCCGTGTTGTTGAGGTGCTTCTTCTCTTCCTTCATATTGTGTTTCTTTGTGTACCTTTCACGTCTCCTGCTATTTGATGTTTTTTATATACTCCTACTACTGATAAATCTTATCAGTAGCACACACACCACAAGAGAAGTTGGCATATTCGACCAGTAATGCAGAAACATATATAAGTAAGTGATGAATAAGATGAAACATTTTCAGTTGAAAATAGGGGGGGTTGGATCAACGAGAAGACTTCGGCAGATCAGAACTTCATGGAAGATTTATGTGCCTAATATCATATAAATACGAAGACTTTTAAGAGAAAATCAACTAGTTGTTAGAAGAAGCACAGGCAGCAAAGACAGAAATTTAAGTAAAAACAGAAAAGATGGAAGTGATGAAGATAACCAACCAAACAATCACCAAAAGCAACAATAACCAACACCAATCACCATCAACGGGGAGATTTGAAAGAGGTTACTTCCTGCCTTTACTTATCTAGCCTAGACTGCAGCATCGTTTCAACCACAGGCAGTCGGAACGCATGAAGATGTGAAAACCAGCTAAAATTGGAATGACAGGATACGCCTCCATCAACCTGAAATCAGTTTGGAAATCTTCTCCACTGCACTCCGCCTCAGTATAAACAACAAGATTTGGATTTTCAACACCAATGTCAAGTAGGTCAGTGCTTCTATATGGGCCAGAAACTTGCACTGAGTGTGCGTCACGAAAAGCATTTCCAATAGCCTGCTGCAGAATTTTATCAAAAGCTGCCACCTTCGATGGCTGGCTCCATAATGAAGATGAAATGGCCAGCCGGCTGACCAGAAAGAATTAGCAACAAGAAACTCTGGCTGGGAACGAATCAACATGTGAGAGCCGATTGCTCAACAAATTTGTAGGAGGAAATGGAGATTGATTGATTGGGCATACGTTGAGGAGGCCATTGCTCGAATGGAGGAAGCGACGGACGAGTGTGTGTTCGGCGCTGTTGTGATATGGAGGAGATCGCGTGAGTTGGAGGTGGAAGGAGATGAGAGATTATGGGGAATTATGGAGTCAGTTGAAGGGGACAGCGGAGAATAGAAGAAAGTGGAGATGTATGGTTGAAGCTTGCCCTATGTTCCACTCGGAACCCAAGGGACTAATAACAATAATTCAAAAGATATAATACAGAAGGTTGAGCTGATTTCCCCCTCCCCGCCGGCATATTTCAAGTAGGGAGTGACTTTATTTAACATATGAACTCGTTTTCTTAATAGTATAGCAAAATCTCAGATTGTTTAGACTAGTTGTAACTAGTACTGGCTCTAATAAACTCATTCATAGAAAACGACATTACAGATTAAGAATTCGTGTTATACGAATAAGTGACAATTTAACATTAGAAGGTTGTCGCACCAATGTAGAATGAATAGATCCATCATGTCCATCTTTAAAACGGACCGACGTAACACATGTTACCAGCTGCTTTCTTGCTTCTGAGGCTGCAGAAAACAAGTGAGGATTTGATTCGCACGAAGAGTAGGCTGGTTTTTGGTCAAGCCATGGATGAATTGATCATGTGTTCCAGCCTTCGTCAATTGTTGGAACATCGCCACACGTAAAGCAGGCCAACAATCGTTGTGTTTCGTGATATCAGGGGCTGCCTTCGATTCGTTGGACAGAACTACTCTCTGGACTAGTCTATTAGAGACACATGTACTTTAGGTGTTTATTGACATCCCGAAAGCCCTGAGAGAGAACATGCTACAACCAGCTATCATCACTGCTTAGACAAGGTTAGGGTTCCTCTATTCCTCTTTAAATTGCATCGATGAAATTCTGGAGTCAGCTTTGAAGGAAGTGCGTGGTGTTGGTGGTGTAGATCTTCTATTAATATATGTGTAAAACTTGGGCACTGTGGTAGTAAGTAATTCCATATTAGTTTGTTTATTAGATATATCACACAGTGAAACAGTATTATTTACTGGATGACGTTTCGAACAAAATTTATTGTTCATAATCATATCAATTGTAATCACAGTACTTTGACACTTGAGTTTTATAGTTTTCTTTGTTCTCTCCTATTTGTCGTATGAGTAGTAGAATTTTCCAGATATCGGGGACAGGTGATGAATCATTCCTATTACATGTATTTGTAGTTGATTCGATAAACAAAGCTTCTGTTATCAATCTCTCCCTATACCCTGTGACATTAGATTTTAAAACTGCCATCCTATCCCATCCTATTGTATGGTTGTGTGTGACTGCACGTAGTGCTATAGCTGAACTATTCTCTAGATTTCTTATCTTATTCGGGTCAACCAATTTAGATTTTGCTAAGTTTTTATGTTCAGCTAGCCTGACTGCCCCTGTTCTACTAGTTTGACCTATGTATTTGACCTGACAATCATTGCAGGGTATTAGATAAACTAAACTGTTTTGTTTTAAAGGCTCTACAGGATCCTTTAACCGACAAAGATTGTTTCTAATTGAGTTTGTGGGTTTGAGTACCATTTTTATTCCTGCCTTGTTAAGAATTCTGCGTAAGGCTTCCGAGGTTCCTTCCTTGTATGGAATTACTACTGATGATTTAGATTCCTTATTATTGGTGTCGTCATTAATATTATTATAATTATTCTTCCTGGAGAAAGACTCCTCAACCTCGAGTATGAAGACGATGTTGTCTTTCTGTGTGATATCATGCAGGCTACCGAAATTGAACCTAATCAGTTAGTAATCAGTGTCTGTAAGTATGCTTTGCGGTTTGCGCCATCTGAGGACTAAGCACTGTTGCGAGGTTCTCAGGAGCCTGTATCTAACCTCTCTCCCTTGCAGGTGAATCGCTTGAAGCTGTCGATAATTTCGTATATCTGTGTAGTTGTGTGAGTGTCAGCAAAGGTATGACGGATGAGATTTCTAACCATATCATGAAAACTAGGGTGGTTTACGCCTATTTGACCCACCTCTGGAATCGTCGCGACGTCAGCTTGGCTATGTCAGAGATCACGTTTACAGTCTTGCCCTAATTTGATTGGACTCTAGTCAGTAACTAGTGTAATGTGTCTAATCCTATCTTCGGTGCAGACTGAATTCTATCAGTCAAGTGTGCAGGGTGGCCACCATGCCACTAGGTGGCTTGCCATCACGGCGCACTGTCGATTGTTGATATTAGATGGTCGGAGGCATCCGGCGGGAAGCTTTGGAATTAGATTTCATGCTAGTGGGCACTCGTTAGGAAGGCGCATCTGCAACCTTGAAGGAATTCATTTCCCTTCCAATATTCAAGGCAAGCAATTTTGAATGCTGGACACATTGCAAACTTGACTGATAAAATTCAGTCTGCACTAGACAAAAGACTACACAAACTACACTAGTTACTAACTAGTGTCTTCAATCAAAGTATCCAATACAGTCCTACAAGAGGTCAATCGCACGGACGGATGGCACTGGGTGACGCAGATTCGAATCTCACAAGGGACATTAGTTCCTTCAATGTGGTTGCAGATACACGCCTTTCTGACTGACTGTTGAATATCAACTAGCACGAAACCTAGTTGTCTAGACAGGGCTTCCTGTGGCCAATTGTCTCCGAACATCTCTTCGACACTTGTGAAACCCCAGTGTCTCTGCGCTTATCCGATCATTACTGTTTCTGTAGAAATTGCTTGCATGCGACAGCATTATAATGTGAGTAATTCTGAGGTCCAGCGGCAGAACACAGGAGATATAATACCATTTGTTGAGCGTCGTCGTCTGGTGACATCTCTTGCATTCCAACTAGAGGAGCCGTGATCTATCTACCTGTGTTTTAAATAATAAAATTAAGAAAAGAATATCTGGGAGTACTGGACAGCTGTTTTCTCCCTCCTAGTTTACGACTGGTTCTTCTGAAGTACGCACACACCCCACCGACAGGGTTCGAACCCAGACCACCTTCTGGTTACAAGGCGAGCTAGCTCGTAGACCATTAAGCAGCCACTTACTGGGACCCAATCCAATGGCCAACCAGCCAGTCCATAAATTCTAACTTCTGCCAATTCACGCATGCATGACATAGCGCGACTGGCAATTCGCAATGTCTTCTTCGCTGAGTAAGTGTCCTCACACACCTTCAACCTGCTGTACCCTACTGGTCACGTCTTCCCACTAGAACCCCAGGTAACTAACTGCCTACCTGAATAGGACCAGTCGCTAGTGAGCATCAAATCAATTTCCAAGTACACCCACCCACCAGTGGGTGCGTACTGCTGAAGAGCCAATCCAGTCCCAAGCACTAGGACGGAGGAAACAGCTGGCTATCTGACAGTACTCCCTCTGTGGCAGGTTTTCCAATGGTTGTCTGACCACCAACCGATGTCAATGCTCATGATGAAATCCTCCAACCAATCAATGCTTCAGAAAAGAATAGTCCAATCAAGCCGTATATCATCAATGAATGTATGCATGTACGGAGACAGAAAGAGAGGGAGGGAGAGAGAGAGACTTACTTTCCAATTGAAATCGATCACTTCATTAATGTCAATATCTTCATCATTCTCTCCCATAGGGTTAACCAAAGTCTCAGCAACCTATATAAATAGATAGATAGATTTAAAATAAATTAATCAATAAAGACATGTTCACATCCAATCAGTTAATCAATCAATCAATCGAACAATAAGTAATCGACTCAACACACACACACACATACAGGAACAATCATAATGAAAACTGATCAAGTTGGAGTAACAAAAACACTAAAAAAAAACACCCGGAAAAACTTGATTATGCCACAAACAGAGAGAGAGAGAGAAAGACTGAGAGAAACATCCACCAGATTAGATTGTGTTACGTAATCAAGTTTTTTACCAAATGTAACAAAACTCTACACACACACACAAAGAAACTGAAAGTTTAGGATAAAAAATGATGAAATCAAAATTCATCTCGTTAAACAAACAACCACACAAAGTTAGCTGCTCTAGATGTGCTGACTACTATTCATTCAATCGGATGGCAATTATGATATTGTGTTAAGAATAAGATATCTTTTTTAATTCATGAAATAACCCCATTAGAACATGAATGGAGAGAGAGAAGACCAGTAAGTAGTTCAGCGAAGAGTCTCTTTTTCGGCGGTGAATTCATTCATACCTCAGCTGTACAATCGCCAATTTATATATATACATATATGGGTTATTTACGTCCTACTTGGGACTCGTCCGCCAGCTGGATGTACCTGCATTTCCCACTAAGTGAGTGAGTGGTGATGCATGTTCCCACCACGGAGGCTCAAACTCAGTGCCCATAGTTTTAAACACCAGCCAAAGCGTTATCCACTAGACCACTTGCGCCACAAGAGAGCCATATAATTAATAAGTAAGTTTTTGGGGTGGAGTTACGTTATATAAAAAAGCGTTCAGAGGAATTGGATGCATAGTTCTGATTCTTCTAACTGAATGGCTAGGGCTTCTGCAATGCAAAGGAGACAGTTTTACATTAATTTATAGATTACTCTGAAGCAGGAGGCGTTTATTGTTGGGATAGAATGAACAGTGGCGACGAGATGTTCGATTATTGCACCCCTTATACGATCACTAGTTCCTTTCTGTAGCTACGCTGGATAGTGTTCTTTGACCCTTTTTGACAGCATGCGTGTCGAAAGACTGATGTACCTGGCTGGATCCGCAGCAACAGGTGAACTGATATCTACACGTGCATAAAAGTGGTCACGTTTGAGATCTTGTCATTTGGGCTTCTGCAGATTAGCAGGCGACTTGAGAACACTACTCTTAGGGTTGCCGCAAGGAAAGCTCTTCTTAAAGAAGTGGAAATTCTCCTCTTAAGGACATCACTGAGTAGGTCACTTTTGAATTTGAAGTTCATATAAAGTATCTTTTTTGTTACGGGTGGCATCTCCTGCTTTTGCATTTTCTGTTTGACGTTTTGTCTATGAATCTGGGTGGATATCCGTTTTGTATGAAGATTTCTTTCAGGAAGTGTAGTTCTTCTTCCAGGATATCAGAGCTGTATATGTGTCGGATGAGGACATAACTCCACCAAAAACTTACTAATTGCATTTTCGTTTGACAAATTCAATGTACTCACACACACACACACACAAAATAACCATATACGTACATGTATGTGGGATTGTACAGCTGAGTGATGAATGAATTCCTCGCCGAAAAAAGGGACTCTTCGCTGAACTACTGGTCTTCTCTCTATATTAATATGATATTTGTCAAATTTGATTATCAGAAAAAACAAGCACAGATCACACCATCACCAACTCGTGTGGAGCTAGTTAGTTATGTTGACCGCACACCTTGGCGTACACTTTCCAAACGCATATCTAAACATTATCCGGCATGGTTAGGAAAAAAGACAGCAGTGCAAGGCAATTAGTGACTAGCTATCAATTTTCTATCATTTGGTGATTTCAAGGCACATCGTTCCACCACTCTCGTCTTTCAAGATTATCTACAAGGTAAGATCAAACGGTATAAAGGGGTGTCAGGTTTCAGTATTTGTGGATAGCGGAGGCGTTGGCAACTCGTCAATATTCAACCCCGAACTCTGCATAGAGAAAACGTGTGTCCAGTCTCTTATTCTACCATGGTCTTAACCTCTTCACTAGTCGTTCCCTGTAAAAATGTTTATTTTTTAAATTTTACTTTTATTGGTTGGGGGATTTCATCATGAGCTGACATCAGTTGGAGAACCACTGGAAAACAGCTGTTCCCTCAATCTGACTCTTAAGCAGTACGCAACCACCCCGCCGACAGGGTTCAAACCCAGACCACCTTCTGGTTACAAGGCGAGCTAGCTCGTAGACCATTAAGCCACTCACTCACTGGGACACGATCCAATGGCCAACCAGCCAGTCCATGAATTCTAACTTCTGCCAATTCATCCACGACATAGCGCGACCACTAGCCAATGTCATCGATGACGGCGCGTATTTGTCCTCATACCCGATTATGCTGTACCCTACTGGTCACGACTTCCTACTAGAACCCCAGTTAACTACCTACCTGAATAGGACCAGTCGCTAGTGAGCATCTCACTGATATTTAAGTATTGGTTCGTGGAGATTTGATGAGGACATTCATACAGTTAAAGAAAGAGATATTCAGGTGATAGTGGTTTGCACAGGTTTGATCTGATTGATTACAGGATTTCATTATGAGCGCTAACATCGGTTAGGAGGACCTTGAACCTGGCAAAGGTTAGAATTTATGGATTGATCATTATATCAGTTTCTAATGAGTCGCTGAATGATTGATCGACCAGCTCGCCTTGTAACCGGAAGGGGTACAAAGTTTGAGTCTTGTCAGTGAGTGCATACTGCTGAAGTGGAGTGTCAAACTAGGCTGATGAAGCAGCTGTCGTCTGACAGTAGTGCTAGCTAATTTTCCAGTGGTTCTCTAACCAACCGATGTCAGTGTTCATCATGATGAAATCCAGAAAGAAATATAACTTATAGAAATAAGGTATTATTCCATTGTGGGGGTAAAATTTATTTTGATAAAGTGTTTGTTGTACAGTAATATTTACTGATGATGACCGCACACACGCTTTTAGCACAATGTTTATCATTGCTACTACTCATAATCATAATCATATCAAGGCACACTACTCACACACCACTCACTTTCTTGCTTCTTAGTTTACATACATGAGTACAAATCGATGATGATTAGACAACATTTGATTGAATAAAATCAATCAGTAATATAAGATGAGAAGAAAGTACATTCGGAAATAATAATAATAATGATATTAGTCTTATTAATCAATCAATCAGTCAAATACAATCAGATGGGATAGGAAGGGAAGGGAAATAAGACGAGTGTTTTTATAGTAAAATAAATAAATAACTTGTCGTTAGAATGTTATAATGTGTATGTGAGTTGAATTGAAATAGAATCCATTTTAAGATTATTTATTATCCTGCTCTGATTTGAATTACTGACTGACTGGTGGTAATAACATCTCCCATATCTCTGGTGTTACCTGGCGATGATGAGTGACTTCTGTTGCATGTGGTGTGTTGTGTTGTGTTCGGTGTGTAGACTCGATGAACCACGTAGGATTCAGTAAGTAATCAATCTCTCTATCTCCACCTACCTACCTATATTACCTTTTAGAATTTTGACTCTGTCCTTCCCACCACTTTGTGTGATTGTGTGTTAATGCATACAGTGCAATGTAGTGCTGAATTATTTTTTCTAAATTACTTATCTTCGTGGGTGGGATGAATCATTCCAACCTCAGCTAAATTCTTATGTTCTGACAACCAATCTCACTACCCTGATCTGCTGGTTTCACCTAAGTACATGACCTAACTCAGTCATTGCAAGGTATTGTATAAATTATATTATTCTGTCTGATTGGATCAACTTACAGGGTCCTTCAACCTACCTACAGAGCTTGTCCTATCTGAGTGAGTCTGTAGGTTTGAATGTCATCACCACCGTAATTCCTGCTTTATTGAGAATCCTACGTAGAGCCTCAGATGTCCCCTCCTTATATGGTATGAATGATAAATTATGCTAGAAGCGTGTGGTCATCAGTAAATATTACTGTATAACAAAGACACTGTGTATGATTTTATCAAAATGAGAATTTTATCTATAATGGAGTTATACTCTACCGCCACAGTGCACAAATTCTATTCTTTTATCAATGAAATAAGGCAACCTTGCTGATGAGTGACAACTAGCACGAAACCTAGGTCAGACAAGGCCTGCTGACGATTGCCTCCAACCATCTAATACCAACAATTCACAGTGCACCGTGATGGCGAGCCATATAGTGGCATGGTGACCACATTGCAAACATGACTGATAGAATTCAGTCTGCACCGAAGTTAGGACTACACACATTACACTATTTACTGACTAGTGTCCAATCAGAAAAAAGGCATTGTTTGAAATTGGAAGAAAAAATCAATACACTAAACCTGATTCCAATCAAACAAAACAGTTAAACAAAAACAAAAACAAAGAAAAACGAATACTTTTCAATGTCTATGTGAAAAATTAGTTTGTTGTTGAATATTACACACTGAAATTAGTTTGTAGTAATAACACGGGGTGAGGGGAACTGGGCACAAACAAACAAACTGAACTCACTGATTACTGAGAACAATTTATTGCATAGACTGATGCTTCAAAAGTAGCTAGCTACTAGCTATCTTAAGTCAATTTTATGTGTGTGTGTTTGGAGAGGGGGGAAGGGAGGGGGCAAAAACACAATGACAACATTAGAACGAAAACGTATTCCAAAAAGAAAATCAATTAAATAATCATTCAAAGTGATATTGAAAAAAACAGTTACACAACAGCGGAGAAAACATTTCTTCTCGACAAATTCATAAACCGACTAAATAACTAGGCTGTATATTTGTGTATATTTATTGTAAATGCGTGTGAAAGTTAATATATATGTGTAAAACTTGGGCAGCACTGTGGTAGTATGTAATTCCATATTAATTTGTTTATTAGATATATCACACACACAGTCAGTGAAACAGTTGTCTTATTCATCATTGGATGACTACGCCTTTTGAACAAAATTCATT